CTTTATCCACCCATTCATCCATCCATCCATCCATCCATCCATCCATCCATCCATCCATTTATCCTTCCATTTATTCATCCATTCATCCACCCACCTGTCCATCCTTCCATACACTTGTTTGTTCATCCACCCATCCATCCATCCTCTACTCATTCATTCATCCAGCTACCTGTCTTTCCACCTGACCATCCACTTGTCCAATCCATCTGTCCATCATCATTCAAATATCTATGTACCCATCTATTTATTTGTCATCTATTTGTCCAGCTCTCCACTCACGTCAACCTTCCATTCATCCACCACTTATTCATCCACCGATTCATTCCTTCACCTACCCACTGTTTCTATTCATCCAACCAGTCAGCTATCCATTAAACTATATCATCATTCATTCATTCATTTCATTTCTAATTTTTCACTTTCTCCCCTTCCCTCTCCTTCCTTCCTCCCTTCCTTCCTTCCTTCCTTCCTCCCTCCCTCCCTCCCTCTCTCCCTTCCTTCCTTCCTTCCACCAATTCATTCACCCACCCATCTGTCCATCCATTTTTCATTCATTTGTTTAATCGCTGACTCATTCATATTTTTGTTCATTTTCTCATCCATCCATCCACCCACCTTCTCCTGCTGACAACCCCAGCAGCCCCTCCTGGGTCTTCTCCAAGTGCCGCCTTCATTCCTGGGCACCTCCTAGGGCCAGGGGAGAGGTCAAACGCTAAAGTATTAACCCTTTCTCTCCATGAAGGAAGCCTGGCTGAAAGGAGAGGAGAGTGGAGAGAAGCCCTGGGTGGGGTTAACTCATGGCCATCCCAGTGCTGCATTCTATGCCAGGCCTAGCGCCATTCCCCTCGCTGCAGCCCCCTCGTTCCAACCCCCTCCCTGAAGCCCCCTGGCTCCAGCCTCCTCGCTGCAGCCCCCTGGCTCCAACCCCCTCACTCCAGCCCCCTCGCTGTAGCCCCCTGGCTCCAGCCCCCTCACTGCAGCCCCCTCTCTGCAGCCTCCCCCCCCGCGCCCCGGCTCCAGCCCCTACATCACCTGACCTGTGTGGACCCATCCTCCTGCCCGGGTTCTGCCAGGCCGAGTCCTGCTGCCCAGACTCCGAACAAAGCCGGCTCCCAGGGCCTGTCACCGGCGGTCCCGCTGCTGAGGAGTGAGCCCTAGTTCCTGGCCCTTGGGATGGGGTTGAGGGGGGACAGGATGTCCTGGAGTTCCCCAAGCTTTGGCAGTTGGTGTGAGGAATGAGGCCGACGAGGACAGTCTTGTCGCCACGGCCGCCCCAGCCTCTGCTCCTGCAGAGCCAGTGCCATCATGACCCTGTCTAGGCGCGACCCTGGTGTCCCTCACATGCCCGCGTGGCCCAGACTTGGAAACCAACCCGCTTCTCTCCTCGACTCCTGCCTTCATCCGCTACTCACCCATCCACCCAGCTACCCATCTCTCCACCTGTCCATCCATATGTCCAATCCATCCGTCCACCCATCACTCATTCAAATATCTATCTGTGCATCTATTCATCGTCATCTATGGGTCCAGCCTTCTGCCCTGAGCATCCCTAGACGCCCCTCTCAGGCTGGTGGCACCTGGAGGACAGATGAAGGGTGGAGATGTCCTCCTCGCTGCTCAGACTCATTTACTCCCTCGGATGCAGCCTGTTGTCACCGATTCATTCAGTGAATGTTTCTCAAGCACCAGCCACGTGCCAGGCAGTGGGTGGGCCCTGGGGTCCAGGGATGAGCTAGATCAGATACGCCCCTACTCAGTGGACCCTTCCCTTTGGAGGGCGAGACAGACAGTAAGCAAGTCAGTAAACATGGGAATTGAGGTGAGGGAGGGCTGAGGTAGGAGACTGGAGCTGATACAGGAAAGGTAATCCAGGAGGGCTTCTCGGAGGAGCTGACATTTAAGCCCAAAGCTGGGGGGTGAGGAAGGGCAGCCACACACGGGAGTGTCCCCGTGGAGGGAAGTGCAGGAGCAAGGGCAGAGCTGGAGAGCCTTGCCGTGTCTAGGGAGCTGGGCTCGCAGGCGTCAGCACAGCCTCTGCTCAGAGGTGGAAGCACCCAGGGCAGCGAGAGCCTGCGCCCCGGCCCCTGCGGGCCTGCTGGAAGCCGGGGGCTCGGTGTCTCCCTCCCACTCAGGCCCTCCCTTCAACCCTTAGAGAGTTGGGGTGTGGCTGAGCAGCTGCCGTCCTCAGAGACCCCGAAGGCCACCTCAGTGAGGTCTGGGGACGAGGGTGTTCTTTTCATATTTTGGCTCAAAGGTCAAAGTTCAGGAGCAAATAGAATGGGGCTGTGCAGGTGGCAGGAGGGCAGTACCAGTCTGTGCCCCCTGAGGAGAACACTTCTTTCCCCTTCCTCAGCCCATGGCCGCTGGCTGCTGCCCCCTGCCTGCCCGGCCCCCACTGTCAGGGCACAGCCTGCTCCCCTCCTCCCTGCTCTCCTCCCTCCGTCCCAGCCTGTCTTTCTGTCGGTGTGCACCGGGCACAGAGCAGGCGCTAAGTAGTAACAGTACCAGCAAACTTACTGGGTGGTGGGCCTCGACCGAGGCACCTCTGTGCGGGGCCTCATTTGTCTCCACGGTTTCTTGAATGAGTGAGTTAGTGATGAGTCGTCGAATAAATGAATGAGTTGCTTCGTCTTCTATCCTGGTTCCTCTTGCCTTCTCACTGTCCTTGTCTCCGCCAGTCTCTGCCTGGCTTAGTAAGTGTTCAGTAAATTACAAGCGGAAGGGTGGATGGGCGGATGGGTGGATAGGCAGGCTTGTGTGTGTCGGTCTGGCTGTGTCTCTACCCAAAGAACAGGAGGAACTGGGTGGAGGACGTTGGATAAAATAGCTGCTCCAGCTGCCCCTCCCCTCTCAGCCTGGCCTGTCCTAGGGCTCTGGCTGACCCCCCGGGGCTGGTGGGGTGGGCAGGGGACAAACCCTCCGATCACCCTGCCTTCCCCACTTCAGGAAGCAGCCGCAGAGCCCCAAGGCTCCTGCGCCCCAGCCGCCCCCCATCCTCAAAGTCTTCAACCGGCCCATCCTCTTCGACATCGTGTCCCGGGGCTCCACTGTCGACCTGGATGGGCTGCTCCCCTACTTGCTGACCCACAAGAAGCGCCTGACTGACGAGGAGTTCCGGGGTGAGCCACCAGGAGGGGGTGGCGGGCAGGCCAGCCGGAGATGGGGGAGGCATTGGGGGCTCCTTTCCCCTTAGCCCCTTCCTCGGGTCTGTGGGCTGCACAGGCTGGAATGAGCACTGGACAGGGAGTCTGGTCCTGTGTGTCTTTCACCAATTGCTTAACCTCTCTGGGCCTCCGCTGTCTTCATTCGTTCATGGTTCAGCCTTTACCGAGGAAAGGGCAGTGCAGTAGGTCAGCAGACCCGCCTACCTGGGTGCAGTCCCCCTCCACCACTCGAGGGATGTGTGGCCTCCCTGAGTCTCAGTGTCCTCGTCTGTAAACTGGGGAGTGAGAACGGCGTAGTCCTGGCCCTCAGCAGGGAGAATTGCATGTGCTGGCTCAGGCCGCTGGGATTCTAGGGAGTCCTGCCCCCTGGGGTGGGGCAGGGCATCAGGTCTGGTCCGCTTGTGCTCCCAGACTCTCCCCTTCCCCCGCAGCTTTCCAGCTTCCCTCCCCAGGCTGCAGGCCCATCTCCACTGCCCCAGGACTCCCCAGCCCCGAGAGCTCGCCCTCCAGCCTTCTCCAGGCTCCAGGCACCTCAGGGCCCAGCTCCCTCGCTGCCGGCCTTCCCTGTAAACCCAGGAAGGGGGTCTGAGCCCCTCCTCCAGGTCAGCGACCTGCTATGTGTGTGTGTTTTCATAAACAAGACCCTGCAGTTGTTTAGGTCTCAGGCCCCACAAAACCTGGATCCGCCCCTGCGTGACTTCCCAGCCAGAGACCCATGAGGTCAACTGTGCCGCCTGCCTCCCACCCCGGGTTTGACAACTTTTCCCGTGGGGCCCTGCTCCGGCAGCCGTGTGGGCAGTCACTTCGCCACCTGGTGGTCAAGTCTTGGAACTGCGCTTCTGGGAAGGCACTGTTCTTGGCATCTTATCCCAGGACCCAGGCTGGCAGCCCCCCAATCCCAGGATCGCCCAGGTCTTGGGGGGTGGAAGCCCAAATCCAGGGCCTCGTTCCATGCCCCACACTTTGGGTTACCTGTGGTTGGAATTACCTGTGATGCCCAGCTCACCTGTCATTGAATGTTTACTGCCTCATTGGTCACCTACCACGTGTAAGGTGCTGCATTTGGCATGGGGTGAACAGTGATGAGCGAAGGAGACATGACTCTGTCCTCAAGTTGCTCACAGTCCTCCAGAGCGAGACCGACATTGATCAAACAATCACAGAAATAAATGCACAATTACAAACTGTAATGTGTGTCAACTGGAGGATTTGACCTAGTCAGGAAAATCTGGGAGAGCTTCCTGGAGGAGGTGACACTTGAACCGTGTCTGAATGAGCTGCAGTTAACCAAGTGAAAAGAGGAGGAGGGACTAGGGAGAGAGTGCAGGGACAGCATGTGCAAAGGCCCTGTGGCTCACTATGATCAAAATGACACTTGATGTGACCACTCCAACTGCTGTGTGGAAAATGGACCAAAGGAAATCAGGGTGGCTGGTAAAACCCAGGCCGGTGCCTTGGGCATATGAGAGAGATGACGGCTGGGCCAGGGTGGCGGCAGTAGAGATGGAGATCGGTGGAGGGATTGGAGAAATGGGAGGTAAAATCAATAAGACCTGCTGGGAGGCAGGTAGGGAAGAAGGGAGGACAAGGACAGGAGTGATGCAAAGGGGACGCCACGCTCTGAGACGGGACCTGTGCAGGCTGGGGTGGGTTTGGGGAGGGGATAGTGATGAGGTTGGCACAGAGAGTTGTGAATTGCCTGACAATTGGAAAACAAGTAGTAACGGGCTGTGGCCACCTCGAGGTTAGAGCTGAGTGGGGTGTGTCTGGACAGAATTCCCAGGGGCCTGGCCAGCAGGGGGCAGCCCCTCGCACTTACGAAGACGGGGAACTGGCGTCCGTTATTCATTCAAGAAATAGATTCCTGGCGTGGACTCTGGGCTTGTCCCAGGACCTCACTCCTGGGGGCTCTGGGACAAGGATTCAGGCCTCCATAGTGAGTGCGAGAATGTGCCCAACAGGGAGGTTCCTGCAGCCCCTCCCGCTGAATAGTGAGAACTGCAGCCCCTCGCGCTGAATAGTGAGAACTGCAGCGCCTCCCCCTGAATAGTGACAACTGCAGCCCCTCCCGCTGAATAGTGAGAACTGCAGCCCCTCGCGCTGAATAGTGAGAACTGCAGCCCCTCGCGCTGAATAGTGAGAACTGCAGCCCCTCCCGCTGAATAGTGAGAACTGCAGCACCTCCCGCTGAATAGTGAGAACTGCAGCCCCTCCCGCTGAATAGTGAGAACTGCAGCGGTGATATTTCCTGAGGGTTCCTGCCTGCCGCTGCTGGCTCCGCAGCAAACAGCTGTGAGCGCATCCGTTTCCCTGTGCGGCCTCGCTTTAGCTGGAGAGGAACCTGAAGGGGAGGAAAGTCTGCACAGAAATTGGGACCACGGTCCCTGGTTCCAGAGCGGGCACCCGATCGGGCCTGCCCAAGCCCCAGCGCAATTCGCAGGGCGTTCTCTTCATTGACTCGTCCTTTTAAAGGTATAAATCAACTCGTAACTATAAAAGTTCATACTTGGGAAGCAGATTGCACAGGGACATTAGCGGTGTTAGTGGCAGGCTGTTCAGGACCCGTTAGTACCAGGGACTGCCTCCGTGAGAGATCTGACAGTGGAACCTCGCTGTGGGGTTATGGTTGCTGCACCTGTGGGCCCCCAGGTCCTCTCCCCTCCATCCCAAGGTCAGCCACAGCCTCTGCGGCGGGCAGTCTGTGCGCTGGGGAGCCCTGCACCTCCCCTGTCCCCTCTAGGGCACTAGTGCAAGTGATTCATCGGAGAGAATTTGTGTTCAAATAGGTGGGCAAAGGCTCCCTGCTGTGTCTGGCTGTGGAGGCTCCCAGCCTCATTAGTTAAAGGCTCTGAGAAGTCCTGCAGTAAAGAGATCTGGCTGGCTTTGCTGAACCCGCATTCCCCGCTCTGTTCGATTTGTAAAATTCCCTCCAGATCTGCTTTCTAAATGCCGGTCCCTCTAAAGGCCGCAGCTTCCCACATTTTAAAGAACTTCAGCCCCTCGAGTTTACATGTCCCCCTCAGCTCCCCGGGGAGCAGATAGGGAGCAGTGCCCTGTCCCCTGCTGCCCGGCAGTTCTGGGCCGTGGGCGAGCCCCCCATCCTGTACCTCTGTCCCCCAGAGCCTTCCACGGGGAAGACCTGCCTGCCCAAGG